TTCTCAGCTGGGGCACCTGGCTGTGACACCATTTGCTCTTGGCTGAGCTGCTTACCTGCCAGGCAGTCAGTAGAGGAAATTACACCCACCCCTCTAGTTGCTGCAGGAGCAGGTTGACAGAAGCAGGCCCTGCACGTGGATCATGGGCACAACAGGTACTCACACTAGGAAGTCTCTTTTCACGACTACAGTTTTCCATTTTCCTGTTATGGCAAGATTTTCATAGCTACAGGAATAAGTACAACTCACTGTACTGTATGTGGGGGCTAATACTGTTTCTAGAGATTTATTTATTGATGCATACGTAACTGGGGTACAGGCCAGAAGTGCAGGGTAGGTGAGAGGATTCACCCGAGACAGAGTGGGGAGCAGAACAGGCAGATCGACGAAGTACACTGCTGAGGGGAGCAGCGAGCGGGTCAGGAGAGGTCTGCCACGCCATGTGGTCACCTCCCTGGCTGGGGATCAAACTCATGCTGAAGCAGCTGACATTAGCTAGCTTCCTAGTACTGAGCTTTTCATTTAGCCCACTGTGCCACAAGGGAGGGCCCGGGACTAATATTTTTTAACACATCCTGATAAACTTAAGTGGACAGTCAGCTTGTATGATCATTAATTCTCACCTTCTAGATAGATTTGGACTTTATTTGTTTATCTATTTATTTATTGTGTGGAAGAGCTGGGGATTAGGCCAGAGGTACAGGGGTAAGGGTAAGAGGATTCACGAGAGACAGAGTGGGGAACAGAACAGGCCGACGGACTGAAACACACTGCTGAGGGGTATTTTGTTACCACAACAATAGCAGCAACACATGATGATTCACTTCATTGGAGGTATCCATAAAGCATTTAGAATTTTTCAAAGCATTTTGATACACCTATCGCATTTGCTCTTGGGGCCTGTATCTCAGGAGACATGGTGAAAAGAAAGAAAAGAAAAGGAAATAAATGGGACATCTCAAGAGAAATGCATGAAAAAAAAAAAGACTCAAATTACTTTCATGGGTACTAAGAAATCCCTTGAATCCCAAAATTAGGCACAACCGGGTAGCTCTCACGAAGGTAATCCACTGGGTTCTGAACCCCAGATTTGTATATGCCGTCACCTGTTCTGTGCACCTGCACCTCAAACACAACACTCAAAACCCACACTTGCTCCCTTTTTGCATTTTCCATCTTAGGAAATGTTCGACCACTCACTTCCAGTCATTCAAACCAGAAGCCTGCGAGTGTCATAGTTGGCTCTCTTTAATCATGCCCAATTTCCAGATTCCTAGCTGAGAGTCTCCCCAGCTCCAGCTTCACTGGCTCAGCGTCTTGCTCTAAACTTCAATCTATATGGCTGGGATGCTTCACTCCAGCCAAACTCTTGACAACCTCTACCCTTAAGGGCTGGGTTCTACCTGGCCTGTGAACTGTCAGACATGGAAGAATTAGAATACATTCCCACCTGTCCTTGTTGAATCGGACCCCTGAAATCTTCTTGAGACAAGCCTGCACTTGAGCTTCCTGCTGTCAAGCCTCTGCTGGCTTCTTGCACGTCCTTACTGCCCTAGCTTCTCCCAGCTGTGCCTAACGCAGTTTGGTGCACGGAAGAGACTTGCTAGATGTTTGATGAAAAGGGATAAAGTGCAGGGTGTGGCAGCCGTCAGCCTCAGCTGGTCGGCATCGTCACCAGCCTCCCCACAACCCAAGCCCACCCTTGAGAGGCCAGCTACAGAGCTGAGATGTAAGGGCAGTGCTTTAGATCAAGAAACTTAATGCTAGATGCTTCCACTGGCTTGTCACCTGGCTCTAATGATTCTGAGGCTCAATTTTCCTTCTATCTGCTGCCACAAGGATCAAGCAGTATAACTGGGTACCACCCAAGTGGGGGTGTTGGTGTCTCAGCACATCCAAGCTCTTCAATAGAGGTGTCCATCAGCCTCACTCAGTGGGCGCTTACACATAGATTTCTGGGCTCTACTCTTAGCGTTTCTGATCCATTAGGTCAGGGCATGCAGCCTGAGAACACGCATCTCCGAGTTCCCAGATGAAGCTGCTGCTGGAGGGGCCACACTGTGAAAACCACTGTACTAGAAGGTTCTAAGAGCATTGCTCTTCCTATACAAACCTTGTTTTTCCCCACCAAGTATGCTATTTCAACACCAGACTTGATGTTTATGTTTTACTCCTTGTGCTATCTTGTTGGAATCTTAACCCAGCCTATAAATTCCTCTGGGCAGAAATTATACCTTCCACAATCCACACTCTCTCATTTTCTGTTTTGTTAAATAACGAGTACATTTCCAGCATGATTAATAATAGAATAGAGGAAGGGAGGGGGGAGACTGAGACTACCAACTCTAAAAAACAACATCCACAAATGGATATCATGTCTGGAATTTTCTTAAAAATTAATTACAAGGCAAAGAATATTCCACCATCAGTAGCAAGGCAGAAAAGATGATCTTCTTGACACATTTTGTAAAATGCGAGTTTTCAAGATTTTTGCCATAACTTACTTAAACACCAACATCTCTTGAAATATAAAGCCACAAACTGCATTTCAGCTCATAATTTTTATAGTGATAGTCAGACAATTGTGTTTTCTACATGTAAAATCCATTACACGGCCGTGGTAACAGTTTGCAATAAATTGTAAATTTTTATTGAGATGATCATCTTGCGATTGAATTTTAAAATGTATTATATGATGATCAGCAAATAAGTCCACAGGGACTGCTCAAGTATTTTGAATATCATTTACAAAGATCAAAAACCATAGAAACTCTTAGATTCACCCCGTGGAAAGAAAAAATTCATCGGCAGGATCAAATCAATTATTTTTATGGATGAATATTGAATTGCAAAGCTCAGATAAGATATTACCTGCTTTAATAACATATCCTATGTGCTTTTAAAGTCTTAAGTTTCATAATCAGATTTCAATGACAAATTTTACCAAAGGCCTGTTTTTGAAAATAATCGAGAAAATGGCATCTTCACTCATCATAGTAGTCCAATAGCATTCTAAAGAACATCCCCAACTGTGGAAATAGTCACTGACTGTGGCTGACACACCACCCAGCACCACTACTGAATCTTTTAGCTTGTCAGTCCTGCTAGAACTCCGTTGGCAACATGGATATGACTGACGTAGTCAAAGTCCAGAGTGACAGTCTGTGCAGTAGCAAAACACAACCTTCAGCTGGCTCTGTGAAATTTTGTACACAGATGCACTTGCAAAGCATGACGGGCACCCAGCTGAACAGAGCTTCCTAAGAATACACAGAACACTTCCACCTCAAGCATCTCTGCTCCCTCAGTTCCTCGAGTTGCCATGAGTCGCATCAGGTCGTACAACTTCCCGGCCCGACAGATCTTCCCCACATGCTCCAGAGCTCACAGCTGCAACCTGTCTGACGCCCACTTCCACACACTCACTTCAGGTCTGCTCAAGGTCACCGTGCACCCCGCAGTATTAAACACAGCTTAGCCAGCAATCGGTGTGAAACTGTGCCACCATTTTGACTTTTCGATTCGACTCTTTTTTTAAATGTCACAGGTGAGGTCTGAGTACAGACCTCAGACTGCAGACTGCCATGATTTTTAGGGACACAGATGTTGCAGAATGGCAGAATTGATTGTATTTGACTTTGCTTTTTGTTTCATGAAGGTTGCGGCACTAATTAGTCCTCTTTGCCCCACTCACAAGCTGCCAGTGACATCTTTGCCCCGGGAAGCCATGGTTCCAAGGTTTCCTTCCAAGGTAGAAAACCGTGGAACCCTGTGGGAAGCTGCTTCCCTGGTTCCCCACCCCAGCCCAGGCACCAAGCTGATGGCAGGTTCACCCTGTTGTGACCAATGATCAGGGACATTAGAGTCAGCAGTGCCGTGTGTGAACCCAGATGGAAACATGGCCCAATCCTATGACTCTGGACAAAAAGTTGCAAAATGTTGAGTCTCAATCCCTTCATGTATTTTATTTGAGATAAAAGTGCTTACTGAGTGGTTACCTAGAAGGGAAATGATATAATATAAATAGCATGGTTTTTCCAAAAAAATAAATGCTATTTTTTTTTTAATATCTTGAACTGTATTCAGCATCTGAACATTGCAGGGATGCAGTCAGAAACAGAATCCCAGCCAACATCCCTTATTAGAAGCACTGGAGAAGTGGAGGGTGCTCAGGGATTATAGCTGCATCTGAAGAACTCTCCTAGACACAGTGGCAGCCAGCAAAATGTAAGAAGCATCCAGGAACTTCAGAACCCCCCAGGGAACTCAGGATCCCCCAGAGACTACTGAGTCAAGAGTCTGCAGGGATCTAAAATCCAGAAGTGCCTTGTAGACAGTTTCAAGCCAGACTCTTAAGTAGGAGCCAGGGGCCCCTGAGGGATACAGACCTAGAAAGCTTATAGAATGTTTGGCCACTCCAGATCCACTGAGTGACGCTTTCAGACACAGCAGGCACTCAAGATGCAGTTGGTGCCAAAAGCTCCTTCACAGAACCAGCACCAGAACCAGAACCAAAGGAATACTGTCAAAACCATGAACTCATTAGGGTCACAGCCCCACCTCGGGGATCCCCAGGGACAAAGTTAAGCTCAGAACCAGAAACACTCCAAGTACAGTTCAAATGACAACTTCATGGGACACAGTCAAAAGCAAGAGCACTTGGTTTTAAACAGAGCCAGAGACCCTAAGAGACACACAGCCAGGAGCCCCCAGAGACTCTACAGACAAAACCTCAGACATGCAAACGGCTCCGGAAGCTCAGGGAAAAACACAGTCAGCATCAGCTGGGGTCAGGCAGCTCTTAGAATCACAGATGGAGGCAGGAGGTCACCAGCGATGTTGCCAGAGCCTTTGGTTGAAGGCAAAACCAAGACCCTGCGGGTTCTCTCCATGGGGAAAGCACCCACTGTCAATGCCGCAGACCAACGTCATCACAGGAAGCCAAGAGAAGGACCACTCAGCTCTGACCTCTCCAAGGGAGTGAGGCAGGAGGCTCTTACCTGCACACTTGGTTCTTGTGGTGAGGGGAGGTCCTGGGGGGCCCGTGCCTCCCTCTCCTGGTCGTGTGAGCAGCACCCGGATCTCATACTCCACATCGGGGTCCAGATGCCACAGCTTGTAGTTGGGGGAGTCAACAATGTGGGTCTCGGCCCAGGTGCCCGTGGTGGTGCGATATTCTACCTCCTTGAGGATGATGGGGCCATCTCCAATGATGGAGTTGGCGTTCGGCTTGATCCACAGGTACGTGGCCCCCACAGCCAGCAGCTCTGGGGGGGCGATAGGAGTGGGAGGTTCTGAAAGACAAGTCATGAGCAAAGGACATCAGACTAAGAGGCTATGGAGTAGAATCCGAGCAGGTAAGTAAGCACAGACAACAGAAATTCACACACCGTCACAAAACACCCCAAGTCCCTTTAGTAACCACATTAATGTCTTGCTTTCATTTTCTTGTTTTTTGTGTGCAAATACCCGACTCAGTATGTCTTCAATAACTGTGGCCAGTACCTACCATACTGTCTTCAGTTAAAGAAGGAACAGAAAGAAGGAAAAGAATGGTCTAGAGTACAGCCAGGCTGCCTGGGTTCCTGTTGTGCTTTCTATCCTCACATGAGAACCCACCTTTACTGATGTGGAATTTGCTTCAAACCCCAGGGGAATCTGAGGTTTTTAAATATTTCTTTTCCAAGAACAAACAGAGTGTCAGTGGAAGTTGCCCCCCAAATAATGGCATGAGTCTGAGGAGGAAAAGGATGATGGTACAGTGAGAATTTAGCCTCTTCCTCAATTCTAGATGGCTCCTCACTAAGATCCAAGTTATTTAGATGACCTAGCCAGGACCCCAGCACGGTAAGGTAAAGTGTGCCCAATCCGCTTGCCTGCCAGCTCTCCCGTTGGAAAGCTGTTTGCTTCTTGATACCTATTTTCTTAATATTAAAGGAGATATGTTTGTTATTACTATTGATAACAGAAATAGCAGTGGAACAATGACAAAATAATGCAAATGAAGAGCAAGCATGTCCCTTCCCTATCACCCAACAAGTAGCCATTTGTATTTCTCCATATTCTAATCCAATTTTTATTCACACATTGTAGACAGAACTTCTTCACATGGTTATAAAAACGCATAAATGTAGGATGGACTTTCTTCTCTCACTTACTATAGCCTACAGATTCTGCTTATGTACTACATGGATTTACCACCACTGTCATTAATAGCTACAGAACTCTCCATCTGGTAATCTCACCGTTCTCCAATGTGGGAGGATGTGAGTGTCTCCATGTTTTGTTAATATAAATTATGCCACAAGGAATATCTTTGTGCAAACCATTTCAGTCTTTCTTGTCTCATATTTTCTTGGGGCTAACTGCCAGGAATGAGATTACCTGGAAGGGGTATGAACAAGTTAACAATTCTTAGCGTAGAACTAGGAAGTGGAGGGCATGGGAGGCATTTAGGAGTGCGGTACAAAAGAAAAGTAGCTGAGAAATTGTAAAGTAAAGAACCTCGTGGCTAATCAGGAGGCTAAGGCAGGTATAAGTTTCAGTTTGGAACTCAGGTGAGAGCTTCAGATAGATAAGACTCATTCAGTGTTTTCTATCTAATTAATTACCTAGCAACCAAGTTTCTCCAGAAATAGAATAATTGCTATGAGACAGAGGAAGACAATATTTTCTCAACGTGTCTCGAAGCAAATCTTCAGGGACCATTTCAGATCACCTCCATTATAGTCTACCATGTGGTCAGAGAAGGAAATTAAGCAGATTAGTCAAGCCAGATGCTTTTCTTTACAAAGCCACGGAGGTTATTTGTTAAGACCTTGTTATCTCAAAGGTGTTTGCAAATTGATTTTTGGATAATTTGTTCCAGGTAGAGAAGTTAAGTTGGCAGGCAGATAATTTCTGGATGCTTTCTTTGTGCATTTTAAATATATAGATGCTTTGATCACCATTATCAAGTCTCCAGAGTTCCTATCAGTCTCCAATGAGGTCTCAAGGGTGATATTTTGTAGCTCTGTGATGACTCTGCCCAATTCCTTAATCTAATTATTCACACACTGGCCCTGGACAGAATTAAGTACATCAGACTCAATACTTTGGGGCTTGAGCAAGTGGCCACATTAAGCTATTTTCCATCGACCTTCTGCTAGGATTTTGCTCTCCTATTTCAGGCATTAGCAGTAAATTGCTGGCCACCAAATAAATAAATAAATAAAATATTAATCTTTCCAAACGTTTGGTCTCTTCATGTATTGTAGTTCTAAGAATAGTAACGATCATTCCCTAAAGTACAGAAATGTCCGCACCTTGAATGCTTTGCTGGTGTACTAACCAATATGGCTGTCTCTCCCTCTATCCCAAGAATATGAAGAACACCACCGTCTGTCCTGTACTTAGCAGAGGGAAGTTATCAAAGTATTTTTTTATTACCCCCACATTTTTAGTAATATACTGGCTTATAACTGATACTACTTAAAAGACACATATAGGAGTCATTCAAAGAGAGACAGAAAGAAAAATAAAACAGAGATGAAGCAGCATGATTTTTTGTTTGTTTGTTTCTGGTAGGTATCAATACTTTTCTACAAAAGCACAGAAAGAGTAGATTTATTTGTATTATATCTCTCCAAACAACTATTATCAGCATCACAAGAAGCTTGAATTCCTACCTATTTTCTTAACAAGATTTTGCTCAGACCCATTCTTGCTCTTATTCATGAGATTTTTCACATACAAAGCAACCGACCCCCTCCCTCTACCTGAGCCCACCCCATCAAGTATGCAAAGCCAGGAGTACGAGTTTAACATTGGATAATACTCTCTGTTCAAAAAGTTTGGGAACAAATGAGAAGGGAGGTTTTCAGGGAGCTGAAGCCTGAATTGGGAAATGGCAATGGTTCCCTCCAGCCAGGCATCAAAGCATGTCAAGGACAAGGTCTCTGTGAGCCCCCCTGAGCCTGGGCAGAAACTTCCCCTGAGTTTCCAGGACTCAGACAACATGTGGGGAGTGAGGTGACCCTCTTATGTAAGTCTGCTTGTCTTCAGGCATCAATATCCAAACCAATTCTGTCTTTCTTGTCCCTGCTGTGAGCACTTGTAACAGTTTGACTCCCCAGAAATTCCTACAGAGAGCAAAAGTGCTTCAAATAGCTGGAGAGCAAGTTTTGTGCATACTTATTCTCTGCTCCAGACAGAAATCAAATATCTTGAGAAAATCAAATATTTTGGGAAGCAAGCCTTGACATGTGCAAAGGGACTATAACCTGGTCTCCTGATCACCATGCCAAGGGCACCACTATCCACTGACCCATGAAGTTCTACAAGATAGTCCCTCTCCCCCAGTCCACACCATCCCCAACCCCACACCCCATACGCAGACCCCTATTTCATCATTTCCTCTTCCCTGCTTCTGCACATGACATTTCTCCCAATCGGAAAGGCTTGGCTTTTACTTGTAATTAAACCAAGCCCATTTTTCTTTTCATCTGTTCATGATTACTCAGTTGTCAGGCCCATGAGACTAGCCATGGAGGACATGCTCCAAAGGGTCTGGCTAATTAGATAGCCCACTGATTGGCTTGCCACGTTATTCCACAGAAGAACGCATTAAGGCTCAAAAGGGAGATGGAGCTTAGAGCCTAGAGTCAAGCTCTTTCTTTGCCTCAGCTACCCCACAACCTTGGACAGATCACTCAGTCTTCACAGTTCTTAGATTTTCCATCTTCAGTTTGAAAAATCGCTTTACAATTCAAATTATCAAAGTATCTAAATTCTCTGCTAAGGACCACAGGGAATCTGTGAGCATATGTCTCCTGGCTCTCCCCATACTGAGCTGTCAGCAGTAGATCTTCCTTCTCATTCTTCCTGACGCGGGCCCATGAGGTCTCTAAGCAGGAGCTTTAAGCCAAATCAGAGTCCAGCACACTGGTAGATGCTCAAAGAATTAGTCTTTGTGTCCTAGGCTAACATATGGTCAGTGTTCAATAAACATTTCATGTCATGTTTTAAATGGGCAGAGAAAATATTGAGTTTTCCCAAAATAACAGGTTGGGTGGCAATAAAAAGATGAACATTAGCAAGAGGGAGATTATAGAGAAAAATTAAAGGACAGCTAAGTTAAGAACTACAAACATTTGGCCCTCCCTGGTGGCGCAGCGGGTTAAAGCACAGCACTGAGAAGCTAAAGCCACTTCCGCATGAGTTCGATTCCCGCCTGCCGGCTGCCCCGGAGGAGACCACATGTCGAGGCAGACCTCTCCTGGCCCGCCCGCTGCTCCCCTCAGCAGTATACTTCGTCCATCTGCCTGTTCTGCTCCCCACTCTGTCTCTGGTGAAGCCTCTCACCGCCCCTGAGCCTCTGGCCTGTACCCCAGTTCTGTATGCACAAATAAATAAATCTTTAAAAAAAAAAGAACTACAAACATTTGGGGAGAAAACATCAAGTAAGTGGAACAGAACAATAATCAAAGACTAGAGAAAAGGTATTTGGAATAAATAGTGGTCTGAGTTTATAGGCTACTGAGAGCATAGTGGGTTCTGGGCAAAATCAATTAGGAGACTCAAACTTAAGCACAGACTGGCAATATTTTTGAAAGATTAAAGAAAACTCCCACAGCATTACCAGACAAAAACAGATCTCCATCAAAACAAACAACAAAAAAAAAGCTAAAAACATCCATTCTCAGACTTCATTTCAATATGAAATGCTAGGACCTGATGGTGAAGATGATGATTTATTAATAATAATCATAAATGACAGCAGTGGCAGCGAATACATAGTACACATTTTTATGCACCTGTTACTGTTGTTAGTGTCTTCAGAAATCTGTTGGTAAAATAAAGGCTACCAGAGGGATTGGGGGAGCAGGGAGAGCAGTACTGGAGGGGGCCCAGTGGATTGTGGTGGGGGCTACAGGTGGTGGTAGAAGTGGCTGCTGAAACCTATGGGTGTGAACCTATAGCTCTGAATCGCTTATTGTCTTGTAAAACAGTGTTACCCCAATAAAATGAAAAAAAAGATTAACTTATTCCATCTTCAGGGGAAGATACTTTTATGATTCACTAGTATCTGAACCCCCAGCCAACATCCCTGCCCCCTCTCTTTCCTCTCCCCACCCACCCCCACACTCGCCCAGGTGTTAGGAGGAGTTTTATGCCCTGAGATTTTATAGCCAGCTAAGCTAAGCTGTCATGCACTTCTAGAACCAACAGAAAGCATCTTGGATTCTGAATGCAGAAAGCACACTGTCTACTTGCTCTTCATTAGAGAAAAAAATTAGTAGAGGACAGGCCCCAT